CACCAGGAGAGCTTGCTACTGATACACTGGGGAGATGGTGAACTCTCCTACTAAGGAGCTGGGGAAGGACTTTTTACAAGTCCAAGCTCTATTGATAATCAACCTAGATGTCTTTTTTTTTTAATATTTTTTTTTATTGGTAAAAACATATTGGGGGTACAAGGAGGTGAGGGTTGGGGGCAGAAGGGTGAGGATGGGCCAGTATGCAGTTGCAGAGCTGCACAGTTTGGTCGGTGGGGGGAGCAGGTGAAGGAAATGATGAGGGTCCAGTGGGGATCAGATGCTACAGAGGAATGACAAGCATTTTCCAATAGTAATTAAACCAACTGTCTTATTGATTTGGGAATTGGATGCCGACTCTCTGGCTTCTTCGTGCTGAACAGGGGCGTAGATATAAAGGGGGGAAGGGAGGACGCTTTATCACCTTACTGGTGGTCTTGGGTTACAGCTGCTTGCCTTCTTGCTCTGTTAGAAGATATTTTCCTGTCATTTGCTCCCCTCTGGACTGCAAAGTGTTTTCCCAGGTGGGTCCAGTGCAGATGGCTGGTTGAACCCAGAGGCTCCATCCTCCTTTGCTTCCTTAGCTGTCAGTTGTATTTCCTTTTTGTCACTGGCACTGGGTTCAGGGTCAATTCTGGAGTAAAACTCAGAGTTAAGGTTACCTATAGGAAAGGGAGCAAACCTAGAGAGAACAAACTTGTGAGTTACAAATAGAAGGGCTTTGAGGGTGTTGCTTTCAGGTTTACTGGGGGCGGGGGGATAGGGTGGCAGAAGGTGGCCTAGGTAACATTCTCTGGATACTCTAGGCATTCTTTTTTTTTTTCTTCTTCTTCCCCACCCCGGGGTCAGATGGCACAATCTGGGGACTGAGAAGCTCACCATGAGGGCCGCGAAGGATCGCCCTGAGCCAGGGGCCAAGCACAGCCTGCCCCGGGCAGAAGTCCACGACGGCTCGCCCCGGGCAGAGGGCCAAGGGCAGTCCGCTCCGGGCAGAGGGCCGCGACGGCTCACCCCAGGCAGGGGGCCGAGGGCGGCCTGCCCCAGCAGAGGGCCTCGACGGCTCGCCCCGGGCAGGGGGCCAAGGGCGGCCCGCCCCGGGCAGAGGGCCGTGACGGCTCGCCCCGGGCAGGGGGCCACGACGGCTCACCCCGGGCAGGGGGCTGAGGGCGGCCCGCGATGGCTGAAGTAGCCTTTTTTAAAAAAAGAAGAAGAAAAAGTGTGTGTGTGTGTGTGTGTGTGTGTACCATCAAATTGGATCTGACTGGTACAGGAGACTGCCCCTCCTTCTCCAGGAGAGCATGAAGTAGAGTCTGGGGTTTTTTCCCCCCCAGGTGCCTGTCGGGGCCTGGGTTTCAGCTGTCCACACCACAGCAGTGGACAACGAGCTTAAAGCCCCTGATGGCTCTGGGCGCTGACTCTCACCAGTGGCTGTGGATGAAGTCACAGGCGATTTTCAGCCAGTGCCGGTTCAACCTAGATTTCTAATCCAAGTCTGCCACTCAGTATCCATGTGACGTTAGCAAGTTGCTAACCTCTTGAAATTTTAGGTTGTTTGTAAAATGTGATTATATTCTGTACACAAAGAAAGTATTGGGGAAATTAAATGAGCAAATGTATATAAAATGTCTGACAGAGCAGATAAGTAGTTCACACACACACTGAGCAGTTACAGAAAATAAGAAAATTTGGATGGGGTACAGCACATGGGTAGGCCAGAAGTCTGGGGATTAAGCCTCCCATTACTCCTCAAAAGCCTTAAACAGATATCTGATGGCTATTGTTGTTGTTACATGCTGTCAAGTTGCTTGTGATTCACAGCGACGCTATATACAGCAACTCTGATCCCTGCTATATATTGAGCCAACCTCATTGTCTCTGACACACTTTACCCCCATTACTCCAGTCCATCTCATCAAGGGTCTTCCCTTCCTGCGCTGTCCCTCCACCCTTCCAAGCATGATTCCCCTCTCCAAGGACTGGTCCCTCCTTGAAACATGTCCAAAGTATGTCAGACGAAAATCCTTGCCTCCAAGGAGCAGACTGGTTCCACCCTCTCTGGGATGAAACGGTTTGTTCTCCTAGCAGTCCGTGATATAGTCAATACTCTTCTCCAGCACCATAGCTCAAAGGCACCAATTCTTCTTGAATTTATCCTCTCCAACTCCTTGCACCTCAGATCAGGTGACTCTGAGGCATAGTCTTCAATGTTTTCCAGAACGCGCTGTCAGGATTAAGTGCTAGGCTGCCCACTATAGTAAAATCATTGCTATGCACTTGTTACTAGCTTCCTTCTCTTTCATGTCTCATTCCCCAGCAAGATACCTGATTTTACTGAGAACACATTCCAGATAAACAATATAACATCTTGTCTGCTTCTTGAGAAACACTAACATAGCAAATTTTCTGGAAGTCAAGGTTCTTGGGATCACCTCTGCCTCCAAACTCATGCTTCTATTGAATGATTCACTTTAGAGATCATTTCACTGCTCTGCTTGTATTATGCGTTTTCTGTGCTTTGTTGAACCAGATCTGGAAATTGGTCCTTTGTCTTGGTGTAAATGCACCCTCTCCATCTCTCTACTCAACATCATTATTGCTGTTTTTATGCACTGTCAATTCAGAACCAACTCTCCAGCAGGTTTTAAGAGGCAGTACATAGCTTGGGAGCAAACTGCCCATCTTTCTTCTGTGGAGTAGCTGGTGGATTTAAACCTTTTTGCTTGTCTTTGGGTTGGCATCACAATTCCTTACCACTAAACAACAAGCAAAACAAGTTATCACTAATTTTACAGCTTAAACAGCATGCATTTATCATATTACCATTTTTTGGGCCAAGAATCCAATCACAGTTTAGCTGAGCCTTTTCAGGGTCCTATCAGATTGCAATTAGGATGTTAATTGGTCTGTTTTCCTTTCTGGTTCAGGCTATGGTCTTTTCAATCACTTGCTATGCTTCTCAGAGCTAGACAATGAATCAAGATGACAGAAGAAGAATTGGTGCCTTTAAACTGTAATTTTGGAGAAGAATGCTGAATATCCCATTTTGCTGTTGTTGTTGTTGTGTACCATAGAGTTGGAACTGACCCATAACAGACCCTCTGACGGGTTTTTAGAGGCAGTTATTGCATGGGAGAAGATCTCCCATCCTCCTCCCACAGAGCAACTTGTGGCCTTGAACCCCATGCCTTCAGGATTGCAGCGCAACTTCTTGCCACTAGGCCATCAGAGCTCCTTAATATCCCATGGACTATCAAAAAAACCAAACTGATATGTCTTGAAGAAGCTACAGCCAGAGTTCTCCTTGGAGGCAATGATGAGAAAACTTCATATCACATATTTTGGGAATGTTGCTAAGAGAGGCTATTCCTTGGAGAAGGACATCATGCTTGGGAAGGTAGAGGGACAGCAAAAGAAAAGGAGATCTTCAACCAAGTGATCTGCACAGTGACTACAGAAATATGTTCAAGTTAAAGATTGTGAGGAAGCCACAACATAAGTAAGGCAGGGTTCAGATGTGCTGTTCATAGGATTGCTATGAGTCATATTTGGCTTGGGAGCACCCAACAACATTTCTTTCTAGAGTTCAAGGTCTTCTTTCCAGATCCTACGGGCTTGAGCTTAACAGTGACCCAAGTTAGAGCAAGGTTCCCATCTTTTCCTCACAGGGTCCCTGTGAGTTGCAGTCAACTCAATGACACTTCACAACAACCAAGGGCATGATTGGCCCATCACCTTAACCATTTGCTATTGGCAAGTATCACCCACATAATGCGTTTGTACATAGTAAACCTTTCTGAAAGTTTTGAAAAACACAAAGGTGGCAAGACTTTACAGCATAACTACATCAACTGTTCTTAAAAATTCTTCAGCTGTCTTTCTCTTGTTCCATTCTTCTTACTTCCTTTCTCTCCACTCTTCCTCAACACTCAAGTTCATTTCCAACACGGAGCAGTGTATCTTTTTGTTCCTTGACACATCATGTTTAGGGCCTTATTTCCATTCCTTGTGGTATATCTGGATATTTTCTTGGCTAAAATTTCCTTCTGTAAATGAAATGTTGGTGCCATTTGTTGGAAGATTTCAGCCTGCCATCAAAAAGTGTTTACGAGTTAGTGGATGAGACAAATTTGGCTCAGTAAAAGCAAATAGGGTGCATACTTTCAGTGGTGCTTCCCTCTCTTGTTGAGTTGTTGTCAAATTGGAACTAAGTCATAGTTGACCCTCCATTAGGTTTTTGAGGCTGTAAATCATACAGGAGAAGACTGCTCATCTTCCTCCCAGAGCTGCTAGTGTACTTGAACTGTCAAAGAGGCTTTGCACCACTCCGTACAGAGAATACCACCAGGGCCCCCTGATGGAATACTGCTCAACTGTAAAAAGAACTGAAGTCCTGAGGCATATTAAGTATGTGTGAACCTTGAAAACAGCACAATGAGCAAAACAAGTGGCCAAAGGACCAATACTGTGTGATCACAATTACATGCAAGAAGTAATATATACTATGCTGTTGTTCTGTACAATCGAATCAGAACTAGGATGATGTCTGTTAGGGTATTACCCTCATCTTGGTTCTAACTGGCTCTAGAAAACTGGCTGGAGGCAGAGGAATAAACAGAGTGACTTGTGGAATGAGGTCCCAGTATTTACATGAAGAGAGATGAGCAGAAAAAGGACAGAAATGGAAATAGTAGAATTCAAGTCATTCCCCATCTTCTCCCTTCAGCTTGGAAGGGAAGTGCATTTCTTCAGCAATTTGCTGGAGTTTCATGCCCCTGTATTTAAAAACCTCCTCCCCTTAAGAGCTTGTTGGAGGCTGCCCTTGGCATGCACTCTCCTTCTCAAGAACAAGAAAAGTGAGGCAGAAGTAGAATAAGTTGAGACCCAAGATCCAATTTTGTCTTTATCAGTTTTGTCTCAGCCCAGTTTCCCTACTTATTCCACATGCCCCTCCCTGTGGTAAAGAGACACAAAGTAGACCCGCACAGGACTTCTGGACCAAAGGGACCCACCAGATTGGACCCTGCATTGGAAATTATCTGCTAAGTAGATATCTGCTTCCAAACTGGGGATGCAGGGCTTTGAAACTAGAAAATGTCAGGTCTGAGAGAGAGAAAGGAACAAGTCCAGCAATACACAGAGCTCTGTGTATTCAGAGGGAAGTTGGCAGGCTTGTGCTCAGGCAGAGGAACTCCGAGTGGTACAAAGCGACGTGCCCAGAGTGGAGAAATCATGCTAATTGTCTGCACTAGAGCTGGAGAACGCCACCCAAAATGAAGAGAGAAAGGGGAGCCCCGTCCAGAGCCTCCAGTGCCCTGAGCCTCACTCCTTTTGTCTACCTTCTTCTGATCCAGACAGGTAGGAGACCAGAAGGGTAAGGAAGGATCTGGAGAGGGGACCCTGGGCTCTCCGAGAAGGAGGAGAGGAGGGCTGAGGGTTTGAAAGCCTTTGGAGTGGGAGGAGGGGAGAGAGCTCAGCTGCCGTGGGAAGATTCTCAGTGAATTCAGGCATTCGTGTTGAATGTATTTCTTCATTCCCCATGACTCTCAGCCCAGGCCACCCTCCCCCAGAGGCTGCATGACTTTGGAGCTCCCATGGCCTTCAGTGCATTAGATGGATGGCGTTGAGCCATTTCTTATGGAATGCCTTGTTGGAGTGGGCCAGCCCAGCATTCTTTACAAGGATCATGGGGAGGCTTTGGGGAAGTGGGGGAAATCTTGACTTTGTGACTTCCATGGCTTCTCTGAGTGTAAACGGTAAAAAGATGAAAAGTTTTGAAGATAATGACCATCTTAGTTCTTAAACAATAACACCACTCTAACTCACCCCTACTCCACAGATGTCCACCTCCTGCACTGCCCCCTGCCAAACCCTTGGAGAATTGATCTTATTTTAAGTGTGAATGTGTGTGTACACATGAACACACACTCAGTCTAGGAATCCACAATTGAGAGCTACAAGCAGATACAGAAATCATTTTAATACAATGTGGGAACAACTGGGAGGCAGATAAACACAGACGACAAAGCAATCTACTCCAGCTTGAAAGTAGGTACTTACTGGTGATACAGGTTGGGAGAATATCAGGCAGTTTCCTGTTAAAGATAATGAAGGGAATAAATTTTGAAGCATGAGGAAAAATAGGCAGGAGTGGGAATGGGCATTACAGAAAAGGTCAACAGCTTGAAATGGCATTGTGTGTGTTAAAGGAACAGAAAAGTTCAGTGTGTGAATTGAGTTAGGCAAGACACTTGCAAAGGTTTTTTAAGGAGGCTGAAATATAGTTTGTAAATGGTGGGTGGGGGGAGAGGAGTGTTGAACAGTCTTTAAATTTGGAAGTGCCAAAGTAGGATGTACGTTTCAGATAGTTCAATCTGCTATGAGGCATTGGAGAAAAGAAATAAAATAAGAAATATAAAAAATGAATAAATTGCTGAAGGAAAAAAAATTAAACAGTGGGCAACCTCACAGAGAGACTAGGGGAACTTGAAGATTACCATCTGGTAAACCCAGAGAGTCTAAAGTTTTCCTAAATAAACTAGCACCCTCAAGTGCATCAGATAGGTCTGGTATAATAAAAACCTAAGAAAGTCCTTTGGATTTGATGATGAAGAAGTTGCCATTAGCCTTAATGAGCACAGTGTCAGTAGATAACACAAATTGTTAAAGACAGCTATCTGAATGTATAGACAGTGAACTAGGAAATAAGAAGCACACAATGGAATATGCTAATCTAAGATATCGCTAAACTTTTTCAGGCAAAAAGTAGTTTAAAAAAAGTATAAAGATCTTGTTAGCCAAGGTAACTAAGCAAATGCAAAAGGTGAAAGAATCTTTTGTGTGGGGAAAATGTTACATAATTTTAAAAAAATCTTTAACTAAAAACTATGTATTTTGGATATTAAGTTATATTGAGGAGTAATGATATCAGTTTGAGGACTAAGGAGCATCTTATTCAGGCCATAATCTTTCTGTTCACATGCTATGCATCTGAAAGCTAAACAATGAATAAGGATGACACAAAAAGAATTGACACCTTAGAACAGTGGTGTTAGAGAAGAGCACGGAATATCCAATGCACAGTCAAGAGAACAAACACATATGTTTTAGAGAGGATGCATCCAAGTGCTCTTTAGAGGCAAGAATGATGAGGCTTTTGCCTCACATACTTTGTGCATGTTGCTGGAAGGGGCTATTTCTTGAAGAGGGATATGTTGCTGGGAAGGCTGAAGGGTCTGCAAAGGAGAAGAAGACTCTCAACCAGGTGGCTTGACATGGTGACTGCTGCAATGAGCTCTTATGTGTCAGGAAGTATGAGGATGACACAGCATAGAACAGGGTTCTAATCTTGTGTTTATGGGATCGTTATGAGATCTTTTGTTCTTGGGGTTGTTATGAGTCATACTCTATCTAATGGCACCTAACAACAACATGTTAAGAGGTATGTGCAGTAAAGTCAGGTCAGACTACTATGTTGTTGTGGACTAAAGAGGAATAAACAAGGGCAATTCTATAAGAAATTCTCATCATTCTCAATATATTAGCTAGAAGAATGCCAGCTTCTATAATACATAAACCCCAACCTTGAAGGTCCTAGAACTGGGCAGGTGATAATCTGATGCAGTTTCAGGTTTAACTTGGCATAGAGAAGAATTCCACTCCATAAATTTTTCAGGGATCAAGTTCTATTAACTTCATCATGAGTTTCCAATGTTCACTCAAGGTTTATCTCCCCTTCTACCAGCTGGAGAATTTAAAAATAACAGGACAAAAACCCCACACAAATAACACCCCGTCTTTGATAACTCTGGGTCTGTTGTTGTTGTTGTTATGTGCCGTCGAGTCGTTTGCGACTCATAGCGACCCTATGCACAACAGCCCTAAACCCTGCTCTATCCTGCGCCAACCGC